AATAAAAATATACAAATGCATGACATTCTCGTTCTAATCTTAAAGGTAGACTCCAGGAACTCCGGAAAGACAAATTGTGATCGGAAGTCACATGATCTGTCATTTTTTTTCTGTTTCACTTTGTTACTATTAGAATCTACTGTGACGAAACGCGTTTTTCCTACTTGCACTAACCGCACAAACCAGAGAAGCTGCCGTATTGCATAAAATAATGGGTATCCGAAATACAGGACCGTGCTCAGTGCTAAATTGCGATAAAGAAACCATCAAGTTCCGTCGTTTCACGCCATTAGCATACAAAAAATCAATAGAAAAACACACGTTCGACAGCTATTCCTATTTGCAAATTGGACAACAGCTGTGTCAAAAGCACTACCTGTGTATTGTTGAACCGGATCGAAGTAGAAGATATACGTTGCGGTCTAAACGAAAGAATGGTCAAGAGTAAGTGGATAAAGTACCGGTACAAAATATATGTGAATGAATGGTTTCGTGTTTAATTGTTTGTTTAACTTGATTTTTTTGGTTGTTTGCAAAGCAATAAAATGGAGTTAGTCACAACAACCGTCGTCGCGCACCAGTAGTTTTCGAGTGCGACGCGACCATTTCAGGTTAACGAATGAAGATTAAATCAAGAGACATGGTAGCGTGCTTTTTTAGTGTAAGGATTCATTGGATAAATCTCGGATGATTTCACCTTGGGTTTTGAAGTTCAATGAAAAACGTGTCTTTTTAACCAAGTCTTGTACTACGTGTCTGTTTGCTTTAGCTATGTAAATAAATTTTTATTTGAAATCATCTCTATCTCGTCTAATTAATTAACAAAAACAATATCAATCTATTAGAAATGATTATTATTTGGTGAAATTGAGAACTTTCGTGAAATGTGAATATGTGTCTGTAATCTAAATAAAGTAAGAAATTTGTGTATGTGAATTAAGGATGCGGAAAAGGGATGGAAATAAGTGTGCCTGAATGATAAAGCGAGTTTGAGCGATTGAAATGTTGAAAAGGTTTTAAGAAATTAGAGGAGTTATATGCGTGATTGGAATCTAGACACGAGATGATAGGGATGAATATGATGAGATAATTTTTAAAGAAAATTCCCGGGATAATTCTTCTGGATGATGATTATTGAGAATTTTGTAAAATAAGGTATTAGGATGAATCTGGTGAAAGGTAGATTTGGAAAAGGATGAAGAACATGATAGTAATGGGGGGGGTGGGATGATTTCAAGATCATTTATAACTTTTTTCTTGAAAACATTTAGCATTTGACATAGCTCCATATCATTGATACACGACCTTCCGCAGATTCTGCTATATTCGAGAAAGCGAGCGGACTCAGGTCGATGTTACCCTAAGAAAAAAGATTTTTATTCTGTAAATTGACCTTTCCCTTTTTCCCAATTTAAAAATAATTCTTTAATTATTTATTTACCCAAGCACAGTCGGCACATCGATCCACAATCCTCACTTTGATAGAACCAAGCGGCCCCACAATCCTTACGCATCTGCCACACCGGTTTTGTTGATCATATTGCGGCGCGTTCTTTATTTTTATTTAAAGATTATAGGATTATTCTTTAGTTTCATAAAAGAATCCATTTTTTCCATTAAAAGGTTCAAAATATATAGAAAAAAATTTACCAGAGCTGCAATCTTTTAAATCCCAACAACGGACAGTACTTAATTTATTTAGTTATTTTTATTCGATATAGGATAGCATCAAGTCAGATTACAAATTATAAAATTTAAATTTACCATATCTCGATCCCTGCTGACTTTACCACATGATCCTATCAAGAAATTCAATTCGTATACGATATTATGTCTTTAATTTACAAACAAATAAAATAAAAAATCGAACGTTCAATTATTAATTAATATAATCACCTGAAATTCCCTTTTGATAATAAAAAGTGGCCTACACAAAAAAAAATCAATGAAATCTGTGTTAAAGAAGTGTGACCATCTGCAATCTGTGCTACCACCCGTTGATCCCCCATTGACACGCCAATTGTTTCAATTATAAAATTAACGAAATTACCTGTCCACTTGTTACGCCAAAATCTGAAGCATCCAGAGTGGCATTAGTGTCTGCATCACCAAACACTAAACAACAACAACAAATCAAAAATAGAATTATTGAATTGTAATTAAAGAATGACAATGGTGAGGTTCTTATGAATTTGGCCATTTCGACCAGATGTACAAGAACGGTGATAACGACGACAATGAAAAAGAATGCCAAGGAGAAAGAATCTCGGGTTTTTTCTTTGTTGTTGTTCTTATTATTAATATGGTTGAAATAATCATCATTTTATTTTTGGCTCGACTATATATAATCGTTGTGTGCTCTTTTGTTGCAAATTAAGGCAACAAATGGCTCCGGAAATTGGCATCATGTATAATGTCTCGTGGTGGAAAGAAAAGTTGAAGAAAGGCATGACAAAAAAAGAATGGCATGGTTCGATCAAGCGAATGAACGGACGGACAATAATTGGTGGATACTATCGCTAATATGATTCAGTGAACGCCCGAATTTCAAATTTTCATAAATACAAAAGAAAATCTACGTTTGGCCCAATAATTTGTGCGCGCTATTTTTACAATAACGATTGATTTAATAATTCCTTTTATGTCTCGTGTGAAAGGATTTTGGCATATACTCATACATAGGCATTGCATTACATTGCATCACACTACATTACATGGATAATGCATAGAAAGTGCTGTTGCCTGCATATAAAGCCACCCATATAAGAAAGGGGGACAGGAGTAAGGGGATAAAGAGCGAGATTGATTGATTTCATGAAGAAAGTGGTAACATATAAACAACAGCATATGCAAAAAGTATTACACGTGTAATTTATCTTACAAACTCGATTCACTTCAAGAAAAAACGTTGATTTTCTGTTAAACGAGAAACGGCATTTCGTGATAGATAGTGAAATATGTAGAATAATCATGGAGGCGCGACGCGCATATCAGTAAACTAAGCTTGGTGGGTGCGGTCACATTACCGGTCACTTGTGCAGAAAATTCATTAATCAGAGTTATCAGATATGGTTCATATGAAAGTCGGGACAATGAAATTTCTATCTGCGCAAATAATTAGACTTTTTGGTGAGATTAGTCCCTCGATATATTCATACGATGGAGAAAAATAAAATGGCCCATGAAAATTAGTCCGATAACTTGCAATAACACACAAATAATGCAAAGCGAATCTCTTCTGTTTACTATACTAAAGATAAATCGGGTAACCGTTTCTGATGTGGATATTACCAATTCGGAGAAACTTGTTATTACTGCTGCTAAACTTTAACAATTTTAATAAAGTTCGTGAGAAAAATTTTTTTTATCTGATTTGATCAAAAACTTAGCAAGTGCGAGTTATTCGAAAGAGAAAATTCGTGTTTGAACGGTGATCATCTTTGTCTAAAGATCATCTAGACAACGAAGATTGAAGGTGATTTTTAATTGGTTATTCAGCGTGAACAAAGGTTTAGCATCGCATCGTTGGCACTTTCTAATGCACTCTATAGAGGTCAATCAAAGCAGTTTCTCGCCTGTTCAATGGTTTTTTTTTTTGATAGTATTACATAAATCGTCGTCTTTACACTTTCTACCAACTGATTGAGACATATTCATGTGCATGCATAACGGCGAAAACGGGAGTGAATTTTTTACACAGCATCAATGAAAACCCGTGTACAACTTACCATGTGCATGTGCATTAGTTGTTCTCAAACAAAACAAAGTTATGTGATTTTTTCCCTATATTTTTTTATTCACGACCCACGAAGTCAAAAATAGTTAGCGAGAGGTAGATCTTGTGTTTAATGAAGAATTAAATGTGTTATTTCATTAATTATCGTTATAGCGTATTAATTAAAATTAAATTAATAGGAGTCAACTTTAAGTGAAAATAATTATATTTCCTTTAAATGTTGATGAATTCATCGTGATTATTGAAAACAATGAGGCTTGGTGATATTTATGTTTATTATGTGTTCCCTGTCGTATCCACAAATAAAAATACCATCTTGCGCATACAGATTGCGATTCGAAATATTAACGCATTCGATGTTATTTATTCCCTGAAAATTTACTTTTTTGGTTTATATGAAATTATGGAACAAAAATCCAATCAATGGGTGATCTTTCCCTTTAGCTTCGTTATTCTATTCTAGTTAGCGCCCTTCAACCCTGAAAATCTATATACAGAATAAAATAAGAAAAGATATGCGTAAGATAAAAGTATCAAACTAATGTCTATCGCTATGAAAATATACCCGATATTTAATTTACTTTTAGATAGAATAACAATGATTAGTAATCATCATTATATCATCACTCAAAACAAGCACGCAACGTTAGATGTCTGTATATTTCAAGTTTTTCACATTTTCCCTTACTATTATTGTCATCTTAGGAACAAACCCGGCCGACCAAAGAAATGCAACGCGGAATAACGATAAGGCAAGGCAAAGCAAACAAACCAAGTTGAACCGCAAACACATAAAGTACACTTAAACGTCTATTTTTATATTGAAGACGATCAAATAAAATTAAAAAGGGTTGTATCACAAATTAAATTGCATCTTTCCAAACACGGATTGTTTGTTACTATTTTGGGTTCTTATTCTATATATTATATATATGTATATACCTTGATTCAGTAATGTGAGTAATGGAATTTTTCCAATTTCTCTTTACGAGGACGTACTTTTACCAAAAAAATAAACATGAAATAGCCTTCCTTTATTTAAGTTACCCTTTAGGTTATTTTTTTGTAGCTCTCGGACGTTAGCTGAGGAAAATAGAGATAACCCCCGCATGTTTTTATATATTTGGTCTCTTTTTCGTGATGTACGTGTTCGTGCAAAAATGTACATGTATGTTGTATTTCGTTAAGCGCAGCGGGATGTGTATATTTACATTGTACATGTGGATTCACGATGATATCTCTCGAACAATGGTCCTTTCGTTTAAATAACGTGTGATTTATTTTTCGTCAGCAGAAAGTATCAGTTGCTCTTTAAACAGTCAAAAATACGGAATTAACAATAAATCAGGTGAGTTATTATTAGCCTCTTATAATCGACCTAACAATTCCTGTTACCGGCTCTGCTATTAGATTTCAATGACTGAAAGAAAAAGAGTTTTGAGATCATTTTTGATAATATAATTTGAAAAGACATTTATTACGCCTTTTTGCATTCCGAGTTAAGAAATCTGTCCAAGTTCAGAAGTAAAGCAAATTGGACCAGAGTTTGTGTATCTCATTGATACAAATATAATAAAAGCTTGACTGACGAAAGATACGGTTCTTAAGCGCAAAGGATATAGAGAAATCCAACGATGAATAGTCTAACCTCCTTATGAATTTAAAGGATCACGCCTCAAAGCTTTGAATTTCGTATTACGTCATAGTTCTTTGGCTGATCAACAAGAACTGTAATAGAGATAATAAAAATAAAATGTGCATATATGTAAATGGCTAACAATACAATTTCCCTTTTACGGATACATTATATAATCTTTAACAATACACATCAACATAACATAAAATAAATAAATGAATTCTATTATTAAACTTAAACTAATTCGTGTCTAAAAAAAGATGTGGACTATCTAACCAACCAAATTGAAACTTAGTACACAGGAGGGAAACTATTTATATAAGAGTTATCTTGATCATTTTTTTCATTGTCACACTTGCACAATTCAAGAACGATAAGTAACTGCGAATTTATCAATAGTTAATTGTATTATTAATATATAACGAAATTATAATTATTATTAACAAATAATAATATAAAAAACAAACATAATATATAAAGATACCAATACATAATTTATCACAGATACACACAAACAACACCAAAAAGAAGGAACATCCCAACTTGTTCGCCTCCGATTAAAAATTTTTAATACCAACAACATCTACTACATTTTTTAATACAATATTTTATATATTTATATATTTATATATATATATATATATATATAAATATATTAAAATATAAAACTCTGAAAATTCATCTTTCCTTTTCTCTTTATTTATTTTGAACAAGCAAGCAAAATTTTTATATTTATCCT